GCATCTGTTGTTGCACATATTAAGAGAGGTTTCCACATTCGGTATGCCGCACAGTGCCTCACAGATACGAAAAAACGGCAAAAACCCTATTAATTTTTTAAGATTATTTTGATGTTTTTTAACTTTATCTTGATTGTTATAAGCATACTGAACAAGGTAAACCCATTTTTTATGATTTTGTAAATTTTTACTCTTTTTGTGAGCTTGTTATATGCAGGTTGTTTGTGGGCAAAAATTCAATAGAAATTTTAGAGTTTTCAAGTAGATCTTAAAATTGTCACAAAATGGTCATTTTTAAAAATTTTTCTTTCATTTTTTCGGTGAACATCATATATATATTATATCATCCGGTAAGTAACTGACAATGGACTTTTATCAACACCAAAAATTAATGTTCGAATTTCACAATTTGTGAAAAAATTAAAAATTTTCAGAAAATAATATTCACAATATTTACTTTTTCTAAAAATGTCCACACTTGTCCACCCTGAATTTTGATGGAGAAGTATCTTGAATATATACAGGAATGCCCGGAAAAAAAAAACCCGCCCCAAAGTAGCACGTTTTTGAGAAATTGAATTTTAAAGTTTTTTGCAATTAATAAGAAATCCGCAAAAAGTTGTTTACAAATCCAAAAAATTAGTTAGTAATATGTGCCTTTGTGATTACATCTCAAAATGAAAATAATAGACTTGATTCCCAAAGTAAGAGAAATTTGTATAACTAACAAGGATATTGTGAGCCTCCTTTATGAGGAAATTTTGATATCAGAAGGTTTGGATGGTGAAAAAGTGCATAGTGAAAAATTAACAGAAAAAATCCGAATTTTGGTGATAAAATTGAAAGCTAAGTGGATTGCAGTAAACAAAACATATGACAGGCTGTTAATGAAAGAAAAGAAATGGTTGCAAACCGAAATTCAAATTGTTATGAAAGCTGACAATGTAAGCAGAAAAGAGTTCAGTGGAGGGCGACCAAAGAAAGATTGGAAAGATCTAGGAGAGAGAAGTAAGCGAACAAGAGTTGTTGGATTATCTGTGCATGATCCAGAGGTTTTAGCTCTGGCTGCTGTTAAAAGTGCAAAATCATCAGGTGACTTACAAGACTTTGCTTATGTGGTTAAAGAGTCTATTCAGAAAGCATCTGAAATCAGAAAAAGTATGGACAGCAAGGAACCAATAATGATGAGTGAGAAAGAAGCACTTTCATTAAAAGTTAATTGTAATCTCAGTGATGATCAGTATCAAATGATAAGAAACTCCTCAATCAAACACAATGCCAATATTTATCCAACATTACATGCTCTATTCAAGGAAAAAAGTAATTGTTATCCAGAGGACCTTGTTGTAACTGAAACTTCTGCTGAAAGTAAATTACAGTCCATGGTGAATCATACTCTTAAAAAAGTTATTGTATTAAGTGAAGACAATTTAAAAACTCTGGATCCAGATTAAAATGTGCTCAATGGTCGTTTTATTCTAAAAGCAGGGTTTGATGGTGCATCAAGCCAAAGTTTGTATAAACAAAGGTATGATAACACAGACATTGAGGAGGCTAAAAAAAATGAAGAATCCCTTTTCCAAACTGCAATTGTACCTCTTAAGTTAAGTGTAGAAAGTAAAACAATTTGGGAGAATAAGAAACCAAATAGTTCTCATTTTTGCAGACCTCTTCGTCTTCAATACAAAAAAGAAACCACAGAACTTAGCAAGTCAGAAGAAAAACACATTCGTGATCAGATGGCTGATTTGGAAGATTATGTTGAGATTATTACACTTGTGGATGGAAGAAAAGTCAGTATCAATATAAAATCTCATGTTGAACTAACCATGTTTGATGGCAAAGTGGTTAATGCCTTAACCAACACAAAATCATCTGCAAGCTGCAATAATTGTGGTGCGAAACCATCAGAAATGAACAAGCTAGATCTAGTTAAAATTAAACCTGTGAATGATGATGCTATGTCCCTTGGTTTATCATCATTGCATTGTTGGATTAAATGTTTTGAATACATACTTCATTTAGGCTACAGACTGGAGATGACTATTCCAAGGACAGATGTCAGGTTAGCTGAAGATAAGGTACTTGTTCAAGCTAGAAAAAAAACTATTCAAGATAGGTTTAGAGCAGAACTTAGTTTACTGGTAGATGTTCCAAAAACTGGATTTGGGAATACAAATGATGGTAATACTGCCCGAAGAGCATTCATGCATGGTGAGGCTTTTGCTGACATAACAGGAGTTCAGGTTGAGTTGATTCTCCGGGTGAGGACAGTTCTTCAAGCTGTTTGTTCAGGGTATGACCTAGATATTGATAGATTTAGCCAATACTGCAATGAGACTCTAGCCTTTATAGTTAATAACTATGATTGGTACAGAATGCCTCCAACTCTTCACAAACTTCTAGTTCATGGACCTGCAATTGCTGAAAATCTAGAACTACCCATTGGTTATTATTCTGAGGAGGCTCAGGAGGCCCAAAATAAAGTGATAAGACATGCTAGGTTAAACCATTCATGCAAAATTTCCAGACTAAATGTAATGAAAAATCAATTTCAATATTTGCTGATCAGAACTGATCCAGAAATTTCATCGATCAACTTCATAAAACACAAATCTTCCAATGGAAACCCCTTGTCTGAACAAGTTCTTAAATTGCTGAAACACTAAGTTTAGTTTTTTTGTTTAAATCTAAATTATATTGTTACATGTTATATATGTTATATGTTACAACATACAGAAATTGTAGATATTTGTTTCTGAATAATGTAATCTTTATTGTTTTCACTGTTTACTGACAAAATCGGCTGTTATTAAAGGATTATATGTAGAGTGTTTAAAAACATTGAAAATTTGTCACTTTTTATTTCAATAAACTATATATATATATTTATGAATTTGTCTCTATAAGTACAATAAAAAACGACAGAAAAGCATGTTGAGAAAGTGGGAAAAAAATTCAGAATTTGCAAATTTGCAAAAATATTTTGAAAAAAGTGTGCAAAATTAGTTTCTGACTTTCGGGTTGGGTTACTGATTAAATTTTAATATATTTAGAGCCAAAAAAAGGTTGAAATCCATTCAGAAACACTGATTTGAGGGTTTTTGCCGTTTTTCCGTAGCTGTGAGGCACTGTGTGCCGGTTCTGATTATCATACAAGGTGGATGTCGAAAACCATTTATTATACAAAAATATTCCTACTATCTTGTACTTTTGAACTTGATGATGAAGAAGCAAAAAAAATTAGGAGGATGGCCGAGTACATTTGTCTTTTTTATAGAAAGTACTTTCTTCAATCTACTATTACTGCTACTGCTTCAGCTAATGACCTGCATTTCTTATATTTAATGAGGAGATTTAAATCAATCTCCCTTAAAAGTGAAGAAGAAACCATTAAGTCTTTTGAACGAAACTAGGATACTGAGGAGCTAGTAGTCTTTTCTTTGTTCGACGACTCTGTGAGTTATGCAGAAAAGACTATGATGGGTCAGAAACTTATAAACTTACCAAGGCCTAAAGTATTCACTCCTTATAAACCGAAGCCTCTAATAATTATTTGGTGCGAAAAAAAGGAACCTTTTTTATTGTCTTTCATTGGCAAAAAGTCATGGTTGCTATTTCATCTGTTAAAATTAAACAGACCCCAAGAATGGCTAAACCTTCAATCAGAGCATTGGAAAAAGTTTGAGGACTTTAACGCTGCAAAAAAATTTGTATGCAATCTTTCTTGTGTCAATGATATTGCAGAGCGAAATATCAAGCTTATAGGAGACATCAAAGACAAATGTTTTGATCCAGTGGAGTGAGAACAACTTGCTCAAGTTGTGGAAAAGCATCGAAACAGCTTTAAAGGAGCATATTACTCAAAGAAATCAATTGAAACAAATTTCAGTAACGTTATTAATTGTATCCTTGTTGATATTTGAATAAATCTTTTGTGGGGCATGTACAAATAGTTATAAATTAATAAAACTTTGTATAATTACTTTTAATAATTAAATTGAGTAAACACCACTAGGTAACAATAACAATTAGTGGATAAAATGTTACACAACATTTGTGCAATCGTTTTGTGGAGGATCTAAAAATTGTCCTAAATTCAAAATTTTTGGTATTTAGCGTTTTTAGATCAGGTGTTATCACTAGTAAAAACTCTGATTAAAATTTCAAAAAAAATTTCAAAATGGACCACCCTAGAGTGGCATGTACCTACCACGTACTGAAGAATAAATAACAGCTGAACTCTATCAGTTAAAGTAAGTGAACCAACTTGTCTCTTTCTTTTACTTGAAACCAATTTAGGGAGACGCTTTGGAACTTTGGAAATACCATTTTTGTCAAAATTCTAGATATTTTCAACATGTAGCTTGGTTGTACCCATAACTTCTTTCAGTAAAGAAAAAAAAGAATCCACATCCACTCACTTAAACCCCATGGCAAAAGCAACTGATGTAGCCTCAGGTTTACAATGTAACAAGTGTTTGTAATGTCTCTCCATGAAACCTTTTTACCATTCATAACCAGCAACGCCAAGATCATAATTAAAACAGTATTTCTTATTGTTTTAACTGCTAGCTAGCTCAAATGTCAACTTTCTGAGATCAAATGAGCTGAGTCCGAAAAGCATCTTTTCCATCAGCTGAATGTGCATAACAAGTTTATATTCCTCCTCTAAGGTTAATACTGTTTTGAAAGCACCTAGAGCTGAAGTACAAAAGTACTAATTTATCCACTTCAAACTTATTAAAAAAATATTTATAACATATTTTACACATTTAATAATTTTGTGTTTGGTTATAATACTTATAAGTTGTTAAAGAATATTAATATCGATGATTTTTTATATACATTGTATCTATACTAAAGTAAATAACTAATAATTTTAACATTTTAACATACTCTTTTCACATACTTTTTTAATATCAGTTATTTTGTCAATAATGCAAGTATTATTATTTATTTTGAAAAAATTAACATTTTATTAATTAAAGTTATTTTACCTAAGTGACCTTCCATTGATGCTAAATGCAAAGGAGTCATGTCATCTTCACCCTGGCAGAAGATATCTGCACCACCATCCAGGAGTAAACGACATACAGAAAAAGATCCTGCACTAGCAGCACAATGCAACGATGTCATTTTTCTACGATCAATGGCCTTTTAATAGATTCAAAAAGTTTTTTTTACTTATTTAACAAAATTTATAAAAAAAAAAAAAAATAGAACAACTTATTATAACAATAGTTTATAATAAACTTGATTTTAATATAATAAATATACATGAATCTATAAATAGTATAACAGATATATATTTCAACACTTACATCAATTTCAATATTACGCTCATTTAATAGCAATTTAGTGGCAATTATGTTGCTTCTAATAGCAGCATAATGTAAAGGGGTTAACCCATAAATATCTTTAGCATTAACAGATGCTTTTTGTTCTAAGAGGTATTTCAATATAGAATCTTCCACAGTTTTGTTGCATCGTTTCCTCTCTAAACCAGCAGTTTTTTTTTTTATAAATTTATCTTTCAAGAATTCAGTAAACTCATTAATAGTTCCACATGATTTTCTGTGAAGTTCATTAAACTTTTCATTTGTTAAAAGTGATTCTATCATTGGATCAGATGTGCTAACATTTTTTAAAGCAGGCAAAATTAATGCATCTACACTTTTCATATCAACCAGTTCTTCAGTACTAAGCTTACCGATAATGACAACTGGTCTTTTGCTTTCAGATTCAATATCATTATCTTCGTAGCCATATTGAAAACTTTTTTCAGGATTTATACTATCTATCATATCGAAATTTGAGCGAGTTTTATTTTCATTGTCACAGCTGTCATTACTAAGTTCATTTAGTTGTGGTTTTTTTCTGAAAAATTTGTTGATTCCTTCCAGAGAACAATGTATTGTTTTTCTCCTACTTAAAAGTTGGTTTTTTTTCTTGTAAGTCTTTATACTCTTTGTGAGAGATTTTTTAATATCTGCTTTGCCAAAGCTCATAAAAGAACGTGAAGGCTTTGTAAAATTGTTTGTCAAACTAGTTAAAGAACTTGGCTCGTTAGTGTACTGTAAGCTTTTTCTTCTTTCAACAATATACCTCGCAGCATAATGCAAAGGAGTTGCTCCACATTCACCCTTGATGTTAACATCTAAACACAAGCAAACTAGGTCAGTATTCACTCACTGATTCAACCTCACTCTTTGACTCTGGGTAGTAGGATTAGTAGACTTTAATTTTAATAAAAAATAATTGTTTTTATCTCACACTGACTCACTCAATTCCAACTCACTGATTCAACCCTTTTTTTATACCCTTTGCCAAGAATAAAGCTAAATAAAAATGACAAAAAATAAAATAATCAAGTCATTTTTTTTCTAAGGAAACATCGTCACTAGATGCTTAAGGCTTTGTTAAAACATTATAAAAAATAAACTGGAAAAAAGTTTTAAAACACTATTGGTTATTTAGTTTTTGAAATGGTAACATTAAATTTCAAATAAATTTTTCATTAAAAAAAAAATTTTGATTTTTTTTCTTTTCCTTTTCTACATTTTGATTAAAAATCTTAGAAAAATAAAAATAATTTTGATGAAAAAAGAAAAAAAGAAAAAAAAATCCCTATCTAATAAAGTAATATAATATGTAAATCAGAAGAAAGAGAAAAATCCTTTAAATAAAGACAAAATATTTAAAAAGCTATGGTAAAAAGAATTTAAGAGTTAAATTATTTCAGGTTTGTAATAAAACATAGGAATTCTTAAAATTCCAAAGAAATATTGGTATTCTTAAAAAAAAAGATAAGATCAGTAGACTTCTCTTTGCTAAAAGACATTAAGGTTTAACTAGGGTTTAAAATGCTGGAAAACAATGAGCATTTATTAAACACCCGCATTTAACGTACTAAAGTAATACCATTCATTTCTGTTGACGAGGTTTATATAGGAAAACACACTACAAATTATGCATTTGTAGTAGAAAATTAGTAATAGAACACTTGGCAACCTTCAACACTCCACAAACTTGAACACTCGACAAACCTTGAACCTTTTGATTAATCTCAATAATTTTTAGAAAACATCCTTAGAATATTAAAAAAAGATCTTGATGTTAAATTGATGTTCATTATGTTTAATAATGAACATCAATTTAACATCAACATAAGCTTGTTAACTTTGTCATTAGAACGACTGAAGTTTGAAACTTTTTGTAGTTCAAATTTTAAAATCTTTTGATGTATCTTAAAATATCAAGTCCCATACATTTCATATTTAAAATCATTGTAATTTTGTTTTTATCACTTTAACTTATAAATTGCAAAACTTCATTTTATTTGTTTTATCAAATAATGGGGTATAAAAACGGGGGTTATTACAGATTTTCACCAGCTTAGGTAACAGATGCTTTCCACCAGTTTACTTATGCATTCTTAGGACTTTAATTTACCATCAGAAAAAAAATCAAAAGTTAGATTTTAAACTCTTTTTTTTTCTAAAAAATATCAGCAGCATTTATATTATTTTTGAAAAATTGAAGTATAGAATCAACTTGTTCAAAGGTTATTTGCTGTTAAAATCAGGAAAAAGATCTTTATATGGACAATATTTCTATGAAACTATTTACTTTTTTTCTAAAATTACTTTCGTTAGTATTTGAAATGCTTCTTTTATATCCAAGTATCTATGAGTTATTAAAGAAAACATTATTTCTTGCAATTATTTACACACACAAAAAAAAAAAAAAAAAAAAAAATCATCAAACTTAAGTTTTATTTTAAAAAACTCTCATTTTTTGAGGTTTGGAGTTTAGTAAGTTATTTCATGCATTATGGACTTTTTTTTTGGATTTCAATAATAATTCTAAAACAATAAGAAAACTTTTTTACACAGATGTTTAACTTGGGAACTTCAGATACACTCATACCTTGACACATTAGTCAAGTACTTTATTTTAAAATTAAAAACTTTTATATTGAGGGCTAAAAATTGTTTAAGTTCCAAAAATAAATTAAAACATTAAAAAGTAATTAAATTCTTACTAGCACCATTTTCAACAAGCAGCTTTACAATAGAGAAATGGCCATAGCGAACTGCATAATGTAACGCTGATGCTTCTTCTGCATCTTTGGCATTTATTTTTTTTTTATCTTTACCATAAGACATTAAGTGTTCTTTCACCATATTAAACTGACCATCACGAGCAGCCTGCATAAAATAATAAAAGAAAGCTACAATAAATTAGTGTAAAATTTATTATTTGTATACATTAAAATGTTAGCTTGAACTATTTTTATTGAAGCATATATTTGTTTTTTCAACCTCAAATTTTTAGGTCGGCAGTTAGGCCGGCATTGCTGAATGTCGACCCTAATTCCAAGGGTTGTGGTTGTAATTACTTTCAACTAAAAATTTTAAAATAATTTAAACAAAATTACAAACATTTTTGCAATTAAAATGCGTATGAATTAGGGATGCGGAGTTCCAAAAGGACTCTGGCTTTATAACTTTATTTTTTCATGGCCTCAGGTGTGCAGAAGCTCTAAAAATGTTGGTTGATTAATGATTTGCTATAAGAAAAAAATTTATGGTATTTTATGACTTGGAACTTATTGTTTTTATTGTTTTTGAGTCCTGGAGTCCTGTAGTCCCGAGGTCCTTGTCGCCATTATACCTAAAGACTCTGGGATCAAAAATTAATTGTTCTTCTGACCTATAAGTCTTGATTTTTTTTCCGATTAGTAGCTCATAAGCTTTTTTATATTTTTAAAACTCCTGGATACCAAAAACTAAAAAGAAGTAATCTTTTTGTGACTTTCAAATCCGGAGTCCTCTTTGGGACTCTGCATTCCTGGTACGAATTTTTTTTAATATTTAATGCAATGGAAATAAACTTTGTGGATAGGAACTTCATTTATGACTAGTATAATGTAAGTACATCAACATTCATGATTTAAAACTTTTACCTTCCATATAAACATATTTATGGATTGATGATTGACTATTGAATTGTTCTTTGAGTGTGGAAAAAAGCAAAAAAAAATTAAAACAACAATATTGATACAAGACTACTAATATTCATAGCAAACAACTCAAGACATTAGCCATCTTTATAAATCTAATGCTACACCATTCATATACATATGGGTTAATTACACTACATTTGCACCAATATCAGATGTAATGTCTATTAACTAGTACAAGATGCCTCAAAAAAGCCTTCGTAAGTGACAACCCTAAACAACATGAACCAGAAAATAACTTAAAACTATATAAAACCAGAAGCAGAACTTAATTTAAAAAATTCCTAATCTAAAAAAAGTGAAAATAGGAATGAAGTGATAAAATATTTCTTTGATAACAATATGATCAATAAAATTCAGAATAAATTAACAAAAGCCAGAGTGGGTTCATAAGAATAAGCATGACTGGTGAGCAACAAAAAATCAACTAACTTGTAAGAGATATTATCACAAGACTAATAAAAGAAAGAAGGAAGGCAGAATTGTAAAAAAATCTACTTGCTAATTTATTTATTTTTCTAACTTCTACCCATCTCACCCTTCCAGGTGGGAATTAATTAAAAAATTCTTCTTTTATTTTCTCTCGTGGCTTCAACGATTTACGAAAAAGCCTCGTCTATCATTTTTAAGGTCTAAGAAACAGATGATAATTTTAGCAACCAGAAATTATCAAGAGAGGGGCAAATCTAAAATTGGAGATTCAAATTTTCCACTTGGATGTCAATATGTTTTGTGTTTTTTCAATCTTATCAATTATTTTAAATATAATAACATACCTACAAAAAATCAAAACAAAACAGCTTGAGCAAAAATGATCCTGAATAAAACGTTATATAAGTGGATTTTTTACATTTTATAAACAATATATATAAACAAATAACATATTTGTTTATATATATCTTATTTATATTGGCTAAGCGTAACAAAGTTTAAAAAAAATTAGTTTATATTAAAATTAAAAAATGATTTATATATTTCATTTCAAACACCAATACAATATACTTAAAAATTTTAAGTGCACTTAACTGCAATTAATTTTAATTTTTTTGGTTTAGTGGCTTTTTAAAAGAGCTTTTAAATTTTGTGTCTAAATTATCTCATTTCAACATATTCGTTGTATCATCCATACTGCAACCATTTTTTAAAATGCCTTTAGGCATTTTGAAAAATGGTTGCAGTACTTACTTTAAGTAAAAAAAGTCAAAAATAGCTAGTTTAGATGTCTACAAACATTATTGAATACAAATTTTTAAGGCGTTTTGAAAAACAGCTGCAACATATATTTATAGTAAAAATGTAGCAAAAAAACCTTTTAATTTTCAAAAGAAAGTTTTACAGTTTTTTCTAGCCACAGGATTTTTTTTTTTTTTGCCTCCACAGTAGCACCTTCTAGTAGCAGGACTGTCTTATTAGATTTTTTCTTTATTAAGTTTCAGACAACTTTTTTTAGGCCATCCACAGCTTATTAGGACTAATTACCTATGCACATAAATAACATAAGTATCTCAATCATGACACATAAACAACAAATTTTTACTCCTGGTGTTTTGATGGTTTTAGAAATATTAGCCTTTTTAAATCTTTTTATTTGTTAAAGTGTATAATATTGTTGTATATGTTTATATATAATCTCTATAAAACTTCAAAAGTATTTTGTATTTTAAAATAATTGAAAAAAAAAAGTTGCCAGTGGTAGGACTTGAACTATAGCATATTTGTTTAGAACCTCAGCGCACTATCCACTCGGCCACGCTGACACGTTAATAATTTTTTTAACAGAAATAAATTCTATAGATCAAAATTAAGGAGAGCTTGACACAATGCAATTTTCCAGTGAAAGTCAAACTGTAAAATTTGATAAATGTTTCAATATGTTTTAACATTTACTTATTTTGAAGTTTATGTATGTTAGATATTTGCATACACATTCGTTCATGTTTTCTTATAAAACAAATGCTACAACTCTTACTCACCACTACCTTGGTTACAATGGCCGCCAAGGGTTCCGTGTCAAACAGGCTCAAAGGGGCACTACTACTACTAATACTATTAAGTTTGGCATTAATATATAGCGATTACATAATTCCATTGCCGTTTCCAGTTAAGCAAATTTTTTCTGTTTGAATAAATTTAACTTTTTTCAATACAATTTTCCATTTTCAATCATTTTCTATCTTTTTATTTCATTCATCAATTTTTAATAGCTTATGATTTATTAAGCCTTTTTTGAAAATCCAATTTACCTTTTTTTTTCTTTGATTCACACTCAACAAGAAGAGCAACTAAACCCTGATATGTGGGTGATGATAGTAATAATTGAAAACAACATTTTAGGTATATGGCATGTATATCTTTTTAAATGGATAACTTACAATTATATACATATATATATATATATATATATATATATATATATATATATATATATATATATATATATATATATATATATACATATATATATAAGTATATATATATATATATATATACTTATATATATATATATATATATATATATATATATATATATATATATATATATATATATATATGTATATTGCTCTATTATATAATAAGTTATTTAATTATTTTCACTTTTTTTTCCAGATGTTTGTAAAATGGTTTATTGTGTTGTGTCAATTGATCAAAAATCAATACTAATGTTAATTGATTTTTTGTTCTTTGACACAAAAACTTGAAATTTGATAGAAAAATTTTGTTCTCTGACATTCTGAGGAAGGAAATACTTTTTTAATGATTGGATTTTACTATTCATGACTAATAAGAAGAAATTTTTATTAACAGTCAGTAAATTTTCTAAGTTAACTTTACTTTTTAATTTGTGTATAAGCAAATGCATTATAATAGATTTCAGTTTGATGTTTTTAAACATCTAACTGAAATCTATTATAATGCATTTGCTATTATAATAGATTTCAGTTTAACTATTATGAATTTTGAAGCTAGTGAAAAAAAGCTAGCATTTAACTATTATGAATATTAAGTGTTAGCTTTTTTTCACTAGCTTCAAAATTCTAAAATATGGTCTAAATATGGTCAGTGTGCGATAAATTGTTACGAGTCTACTAATTGACATTACATGTCAAGTACAAAAACGAAAAAAAAATTGTATGCACAAATGTTCAAAGTGTCCTTGCCACATTTGCATTTTTAGTTTAGCACTTAATGCTTCTGTGCATAATGCCATTAATATATATATATATATATATATATATATATATATATATATATATATATATATATATATATATATATATATATAAATTAGTAATAACTTAACAAAAAAATTTTTCATTTTACACTGTGTTTCATCAATAAAGACTCATCAGAAATGAGAAACTAAATCCTGAACTTGATGATCCTGAACTTAACCTGATCTGAGTGAAAAGAAGTTACTTACTTTTAGCTGTACTTTAAAGTTAAAAGTACTTTAACTTACTTTAAACTTATCTGTAAATTAAACTTAAAAGAAGTTACTTACTGTTAGCAGTACTTTAAAACATTGAACAGGATATTTTGAAAATGCATTAGGAAAAGCATTATATCTAAAGTATGTTATATAGATGTAGTCACTAGTTTGTAGATCCAAAAAGAACAGAAATATACATATAGTAACTTGTGGATGAGCCAGCACTGTGCAAGAGCTTTAGACAGAACACAAACATACAAATAGCAACTTCCTGTGATTAAACATTGCAATAGAGGTTCAAACAGAACTCTAACATACATATTAGTGATGTACTGATAGCATATTTGTGGCCAATACTAATGCCGATGGATGGGAAAAGGCTAATCCCAATGCTGATACTGATGAATTAACTAATTATTAAAAGTTTGAAAATATAAGACAATACAACTTTAAATTGTGTAAACTTTTTCATGGAATCAGAACTGGTAAATAAATACTTGGACCCAAATCAGAGCCAAACCATTATTTTAAAAGATATTAGAAAAACTCTTTTTAGAAAAAGATATTTAAAAAAATATACATTTTCTAGTTTTTTTCACTAAGAAAAGAAAACTTTCAAAAAATAAATACAATTTTAGAGGAACACTTTTTATTTCAATTTTAAAAAGGAAATGGTATTATGATAAGTAGTGTACTAAGAATTCTCTAACTTTATTAATTTATTAGTAATTTAGATATCTAAAATGTAAAATTCC